GAAATCATAATGGTGTTTCCACTGTTTCAGCTCTATTAACTGTAAGTTAGATTTTCCTTTCCTTCCCTTCGAAGAGACTTTATCACCTTCCACGCTTGCCCAACTCTTGTTCCACCCATATACCTATTCACCTTCTGCATATCTTCCATAGATCGTCCTCCAGTTCTCTTTCCCTAATGTCTTTATCAACTCCTCTCCAACTTCTTCTAGGACCTTCCTGGTCTCCGCCTACCTCTTGGTTACCATTCAAGAATTTGTCTTGGTATTCTATTCTCTGGCATTCTCCTTACGTGTCCGTACCATCTGAGTTGTGTCACTTTGATGTCATCAACAATATTATGTGCAACCCATATGATTTCTCGGACTCTCTCATTTGTTATTCTGTCGGGTTTAGAGATTCCTTAGTCTAGTAGGTTGTAAACTTGTAAATTTGTGGATGTCTCTATGTTGAAAAAATGTATTCATAATGGACAAATCAACTCCCTTGATTTTTGTAGGTGAATAATTCTTTTCGAAGCGAGAAAGGATCTAAAAGCAGCAAGATCGGCTTCTAATTTCCATAGCCATTGTTGAATTCTAGAAGGATTTTTCTTAGATCTTCAGTCTTAGTGGGAAGTCGTTCGGAAGCCAAACAGAATTTACCGCTTGTGTTGGTAAATTTATCGTAATATACTGAAGCATGTTGGTTGTTTAGGAAAGCAAGATATCGCTTAATGGTTTTTCAGATATTCGGTTCACTTAATCTTGCTAGAAGGTATCGACTGTTCGAGTTATTGGTTAATCTAACTCTTGATGGAGTCAAACTCCATTTCGTTTATAAGCAGTTCATTGTTAATTTCATTTAGTGTACACTGGAGACCGATTGAACGAATTGGATAAGATACGCTGATGATACTGTTATTTTTGCAGATAGTCTTGACGGTCTGCAGACATTTTTCTCCAGGGTGACAGAAGTAAGTAGCAGGTTTGGGCTTGATTTTAACATCAAAAAAACCAAATACATGGTTATAAGCAAAAATAGGATACCACCTGGTCAATTACTAGTTGTTAACCAACAACCTGTAACACAAATCCCCAACTTTTGTTATCTGGGTACAAACTTAAATGAATAGTGGGATCAATCGATGGAAATCAAGATAAGGATCGAAAAGGCAAGATCAGCTTTTGTCAAAATAAAAAAAATCTTTAACAGCCACGATATAAAATTGGAAATAAAAGTTCGTTTACCAAAATACCCGTTCTTTTATATGGCGTGGAGTCATGGACCTTAACTGAAGCATCCCTGAAGAGACTCGAAGCATTTGAGATGGACCGTATAATGCGCAATGAACAACGATATGACCTATTCGGACCATACTTCAAGGTAAATTGCATGGGAAAAGAGGTCCAGGAAGAAGATGAATATCCTGGCTGCATAACCTGCGAAAATGGTTTAACTTAACCACTACCGGACTTTTCAGGGCAGTAGTCAACAAAGTCAGAATAGCCGTGTTAGTGTCCAACATCAGTAACGGATAGGCACCATTCTTCTTCTTGAATTGTACTACAAAATACTTTGTTTACTGCAGCGCGGAACAGTTCAGTGGTAGGCGTGTTAACACCACTTTCGTAAATTTTGAAGCCAGGAAATGCGTCTTCTTCCGGTCCTCTCTTACCATTTACTTTCCCTTGGAGAATCAGCTGGAGAAGGCCGTAACGTTCTTGATTTCTCATTACATGTCCTAGATATTTCAACTTTTAGTTTTGACGGTCATGAGAATTTCACATTCTCTCCCCATTCTACGCAGGACCTCCACATTAGTAACTCTGTCAACCCAGAATATACGTAAGATGCTCCTTCTTCTTCTTAACATGCCATACACCAAAGTGCGTAGGCGACTATCTCATTACTAGAATTCTGTTCTTGGCGGCGTGACACAGCTCACCTGTATTGTGTATTCCTGTCCATTCTTTAATATTCCTTAACCAGGACAATTGTTTGCGGCCGGCTCCTCTCCTACCTTCGATCTTCCCTTGTAGGATTAACTGTGGTATTTCATATTTTGCTCCTCTCAATATGTGCCCAAGGTAACCAATCTTGCGTTTTTTAATTAATTCAAAAAGTTCTCTTTCCACGCCGGCTCTATTAAGGACGTCATCGTTTCGAACTCTATCCACCCAAGGTATGCGCATCATTCTTCTCAAGGACCACATTTCAAATGCTTCAAGTTTGTTGATAGATGTTTTTTTCAATGTCCACGTTTCCATGCCATAAAGCAAGATGGACCATATGTAGCACTTGACCATTCTGTAGCGTATTTCGAAGTTTAGGTGTTGATTACATAGGAGCGGTCTGAATTTCACAAAAGCTTGTCTTGCCATTTGTATTCGGGTTTTTATCTCGTGTTGTGGATCCGATTGGTCATTGATTGTGGTGCCAAGGTATTTAAAAGTTTTCACGCGATTTATACGATTGTCACCTATGCATAATATCGGGTTTTCTGGAGGGTTTCTGCTAATGACCATATATTTTCGTTTTCAAAATGTTGATTTAGAGGCCATATTTTTACCTATGCTATTCACCCTATCAAGTAATAACTGCTGATCTTCCAAATTATCAGTTATAAATCACTGTGTCGTCCGCATAGCGTAGGTTGCTAATTGGTATGCCGTTCACCTTAATGCCTAATTCCGTATCTTCTAATGCTTCCGCAAATATATTTTCAACATATAAATTAAAAAAGCATCGGAGAGAGTATGCAGCCTTGGCGGACACCTTTCCGGATTTCAAATTCATCCGTATATTGGTCTTGATCAATCCTCACCTTTGCCATTTGCTCCTATAACAACACATTTCGAAAGCTTCGAGCCGATTCATAGATGCAACAGTCAGTGTCCACGCTTCCATTGAGTAGAGCAGAATTGTGAATATGTAGCAGTTCAATAGACGGCATTTTGTTTTTAATGATAGAATAGAATAGAATAGAAATATGCTTTATTGTCCACTGGAAAATTATTAAACAATTTTATGACAAAGCTAAAAATAAATCAGTCAAATAGTACAAAAAGTATAAAAACAAAAACAAATATAGTAAAAAACAGAATAACACAATTTAAATTAGTAAAATTATTGTTTAACCTACATAATTTGTACAGACAACAACAAATGAGACAAATTGTAGCCACTGCTTGAGACACTCCAAATGTAATTATAAACAATACTAATTTTGTTTCTTTGTTATACATTAAGAAACATCGTCAACTGAATATATGGTCTTTCTGTGAGATAGATTTTTGTCACCTTACGAAACTTAATGAAGGATGTTGCGGATTTAATTTCTCTTTGCACGATTAGAATAGAATTCTTTACTAGCTGAGTGGACGGGATCGGCAAATAAATGTTTACAATCCGAATTTCTAATTGAGTAGCCATGGTTAGGTCATATTGGGAAAAATGTTTAGATGCTTTCGAATCAAACAAACCGTTTTACAAAATAAATAAAGTGGGAAGCGTCCAAATTCCGTGATTTTTGATGTAGGTCTTGCAATGAGTTGTTTGTTTGAGACCAAATAGATAACTGATTGCTCTTTTTTGCACTTAAAAATAGTATCGAATTGGCCCGCTGTACTAGAACCCCAAAATGGAAGCCCATATCGAAGATGGGACTCGAACAATGAGAAATATGCCATTTGGCAGAAGATAAATTTAGTTCCTTCGAAACAGATCTTATTGCAAAGCAAGCTGAGGCTAGTTTCTTCCTTAAGAGTCAGTATGCAAGGACCATTTGAGATCACTGCAATGAGAATATCTAGAAATTTCACGAAATTTACGATTATTGATTGGCTCTCATTCAAAAGCAAGGGTTGCATGACTCCTTTATAAGATAATGCTACAGTCTTATCCACGTTAAAGCTAAGTAAGTTGGAGTCTGACCAAGCCTTTGATTTATAAGTAAATCAGCGGTTATAATTGAATGAAGCGTTGAAATATCAGAGCTGCTGCAAATAATACTGGTATCATCAGCAAATAGAAAATTTTCTCTTTAATTTTAAAGTAAGTGATATCATTATGAAAAGTAAAAAAAGAATGGGATCTAATACTGAACCTTGCGGTACTCCACACTCAATATCTTTACAACTAGAGTCGGTGTCAATTTATTCTAACCAATTGTTTCCTACCTACCAAGTAAGTTTTAAACCAGTTTCAAAGACACACCCCGAATTCCATAGAAAGTTAATTTTTTTAATAGAATGTCGTGATTTACGCAGTCAAAGGCTTTGGAATAGTCGCAGAAAACGGTGGCGGAGGAGAGGTTACTATTTAGTGATATGTCTCGACTGTTGAAAAATGGTTCTACATTCTAACGAATGCTGCTTTTGCTTTATTATTCGCTGTTTAATTTCTGTTGAGTGGTCCCATTGGCTATGTAAATTGGTGCCTAGATATATATATTGCTCGATATATGCACCACAAGAAGAAGAATTTGATAAAAATTGTCATTTCTCCACCACATTAACGAAATTGTTATTTCATCTTTCAAAACCTGAAGAGACGTTTTTATTTTGACGTTTAGAATTTCACCTCGGAAATCAAAAGTTATTTTCAAATAAGATTGTGGATAATTCACATTAACCTTAGTTAATGATATTAAAATGCCACAAGACAATAGCTTCAGAACAACATTGTATCGCGTTTCCTCTTTCCCGCTATAAATCAGTAGGAGCGTAAAAAATCGTTGTAAAAACGTATTAAATGAAATAAAGTGACAAATTTGAATAGCTATCTCAAGTAATTGACGAAAAACAGGTGGGGATACGTCGACCCTGTCTATATAACACAATGAAAAAGGTGATACGATTTGCAACAGAGCGGCTCGCCATCTACCAGGCCAGGACTAAAATATTCAAACAAATTTTTGGTCGTGTTGAATTTTTTCTATACTGCCGGTGCGATTGGTGAATAATAATATTCGGGTTAAAGAAATTCGAATAATTAATTAGTGGTGAATTTGTTTTGACAGGATTAGTGGTGCAACTGTAAGTGACGAAGGATGTCCGGGCACGTCAACCAAGGATTTTCTGGAGATGGTACAAATGGAAATCATAATGAGTAAGTTTCATTTTTTTAATTACTGATCATTGTATTCGTTTAATATGACTTCGGATCCATTAGATCTTCTACATTCAAGAGCTCTAATGTGAAGCCCTGTCATTTTTTATCCATCTGTTATCGTCAATTCTTCTTTAATATCTGTACCTCTTCTATATGATACAAATTCTCTGTTATAACAATATCATCCTTCTTATTTTCTCATTCCTATGTTTTGTTTTTTTCACTTGTACATTTTCTATGTAACGTTTTCCAAGTTATTTTTCTCTGTTGAAATTATCGTGCTGATGTTTTTCGTATTTAAATTTTAGCACCTTAGGTCATAATACATCGCGTTTTTATTTTATATATTTTTGCTTAGATGTTTATTCAGCCAAATGGATTCAGTTGTCAAAAAACAGCTTTTAATTTTTTTTGCCTTCGTTTAATTTTCTCTGCTGAAGCTTTTCCCGGTATTTTAAATCCCAAGCATTTATATTTAATTCTCTTTTTTGTTATTACGTTTTTGTTAATCTACAAATCTTTTATCTCCTCTTCTTTTATTGCAAGGTATTGTCCTTTGCGAGCTTAATCTTGTCAAGTAGATTCGTTGTCAAAATATAGTAATTTTATCTATATATACCATTATTCGATCTCTTTATATGTCTATTTAAATTGTTTTTTTAGAATAGAATATAGAATAGAAATATGCTTTAGTCACTGAAAATTGTACAATTTATAGAACAAAGCTTACAAAAAGTCAAAAAAATAACAATAACAATTAAAATTTACTAAAATTATATAAATCGTCAATATCACAAAATAAAAGATAATAAAATATACAATCCATTGCAAAATTTAACTAAATTGCAAATTGCATAATAAAACCTTACGAACTAATAAGTTTAAGCTGCTGCATGTGATACCCAAATATATATAAAACATACTTTGTTGCTTGTACCTAAACGTACTGTAATTTCTTAATTATTCGTTAAGAAACTCTTCCACTGAATAATAGGTCTTTCAGATAGATAGGCTTTTGTCAATTTACGGAACTTAAGGAAAGAAGATGTAGATTTAAGTTGCAAAGGAGATGGTTGTATAATTTTTTTGCCGAATATAATATAAATTTCTTTACTAACTCAGTGGACGGGATCGGTAAATACACATCAAAGCTTGAATTTCTGGTGGAGTAGTCATGATTAGGTCTTGCTAGAAAAACATGTAGGTGTTTACGAATTAAGCAAACAGTTTCTAGAATATATAAAGAGGAAGAGTTAAAATCCGTGATTTTTGAAGTAGCTTCTGCAATGTGTTATTCTACTGAGGCCAAAAAGATACCTGTATTGCCCTTTTTTGTAATTTAAAAATAACATCAGATTGGGCAGCTGTACTAGAACCCCCGAAAGAAGGTAATATTTGCCTATTAAAGCCAAAATGCTTATTAAAAGCTTAAAATTTTTATTTTAAAGAAGATCTTTTCGGAATTGAATCATTCAATCGTCAGTTTAATAAAAAGTTGTTAAAAACATATGTATGGCCACATAAAAACATTGGTAAGGAGACATCCGTTTTAAAAAAACAATCTCATGGTGTTTATAAAAGTAAATGCAATAGACTGTTTAACTTGTTGATTAATAAAAACTGAAATGGGGGCATCTTACATGACCCCCTGTAGCTGTGAGGTTTTATAGACTTACATTACCTCTGATCTGTGCTGAAGTCTAGGGCTAACTGACTCAGTCAGTTTAGAGCTAGGGCTAACTAACTAACTCAGTTAGCCCTAGACATATTCCTGTAAACAACTGTTTCGGAAGCAAGGAAAAGCAAAGAAAATTAAAACAATGTAACTAGCACGTTTTTTATTGCGCAAATATATAAGTAATTAGAAAAGACAATGTTAACAATATTGAAGCTCTTGAAATGTTTCGCAACAAAAAGTTTTCATAATTACTTGGAATGATAAGATATCAAAACAATGAAAATCCTATAAGGCATGCATAAAAGTCAAGAGCTCGTGAATACTATTAAGATAATGAATTTGAATATCTGGAGCACGTGATGGGAACTAAATATTGTATTTGTGCACAAGACGAAATTTTGTTCATAATTAATATTATGAAGAAAATGATTTGATTAAAATCGTTTGTAGTTAAAGTGGATTATTTATGTATTTAGCGTATGGCTACATCACAGGTTCATATATATACATATAATATAAATTATATAATTACAAACAACAGTAAATATAAAAATATCATTCTACAAACAAACATCTAGATTATAAATATATCCGATTGACTCTTTGTAGCAGCCAGGAAATCTGAAGGGTTGCCGTTATAGGATCTAATCGGACATTCCTCTACCATGTGTTTTACTGTTTGCCTTTCGGCGCCGCAGTCGCAATTTGGTGATTGTATTTTTCCCCCATCTAAAAAGTGAGTCGGAACATCTGCCACAGTTTCGTCCTTATTCTATTGAAGTGTGGTCCAAATTTGTCTCGGTTGGTTGAAGCCCTCAGATTTGCTTGGAATACATGTCATGTTCCAGTTAGCTATGGCAGCGTTATTCTCCCATTGTTCTCTCCACCGTTCAGTTACTATTACAGTTTTGAACTACTATCCTAGTTATGATAAACAATCCTTGGACCATGTAATACACATTATTTATGATCCCACTAATATAGACATGTCCTAGATATAATATAGATTGCAATTTTATTTAGAGCAGTAGTTTCCACTAAAGACCAAAATCCTAATCATTTTTTGTTTAAGTATATTTATATTATACAGAGTCCCTAAGCCTCCTTTTATATCAAGGAATAAACAAGGCTAAATAATTGTTACCGCCAGAAAAAGTAATTTGGAGTGCATTTACTAAATGGTTACTGCATCCCCAAAGTAATATAATCCCCTTCTAAACCCGTATTGAGTAATAGGCAAGAGTATGGTATTATACTCTATGTAACCACTCCAATCCTTTTTTATTCATTCTTTCAAATGTATTTAGATATACAGTGACATTAAAGTATAGGGCGATAAGAAGAAGGAAATTTTTAGCATTAGTTGGTTTTAAAAAAGTAAACAACTGCTAATTAGTTTTTTTTTAACGTTCGTTCAAACACTTAGATTTGCAATTTAACCCACCAATTAATGTATATATTTATTATAAATTCTTTAGCAACTTGGTGAAGATTTTTAATAATGTCATATGTAACAAAAATCCTTACCCGGTGCGAAGCAGCAGTGCATCTTAGAGGTCTTAATTGCAGCTTTCCAAATCCGGATGTATCAAAAGGTGCATCCATATAGTGGCGTTGCGCAATGTTCTCTTTCGGTCCTTTCCCTTCAAGGCATATTTGCCACAAAATCTAGGTGCTACAATATCAAAAAATTTACGTTAATAGTTCTTCAGATATAGTATGTTTTTTTTAAAAGTTGAGTTTTTTGTTAGATATTTTTTGAAAAAACTCCCAGAATATTTGATTATTGGGGTATTTTTTATTTAATTTATTAAATAAAAATAGCGCCAAAAGATGGAGTTATAAAACCGTTCATAAAGGTATGTAATAATCCCCGCCAATGAACAAGTAGAATTGGCTCATCGAAGAAAACAGAAGGAAGAAGAAAAAAACCAATAGTTTTCCAAATGCATCAATCATGATAAAAGCGTTTGGTCTTTCAACGGCCATCGTATCTAACTAGTTTAAAACATGTTTTTGTTTGGGCTCTAGACCGTTGTCTTCCTGAGATTAGTATTCTCTTTCCAATCACTAAGGGTTGGCAATATTCTGGAGATGTTACTGCTTCACTTTTAAGAGCATGAAACTGACCCATACAACTGACTGTCAATTTTAAGAAAATATATTTTAGCCATACAAACTGCCAAGAGAGTAACATATTATGGAACAGTCCTCTTAGTATGATATTAATTTTGTTGTATACTCGTGTAAATCAATTTCACATTCTCCAAGACATCTCTATATATTTTATTAATATTTACTTTCTGCACATATTCCATTGTTTATGATTTTTATTTTAGTCAAATGTGTACATCTCCAAACATAATCAAAAACATGTTTGGGGCTTGATTTTATTTATTTTAAAATTAGTGTGAATTAGGTGTATTTGGTAAATAAACAGTTCATATCCGCTTGGGAAAGATTGACTGATAACCGTTAAAAAGATCAATTAATAAATCATTAAAAGAATCTTTTTTTAAGACCTATCATTCAACATAAATCGCTTAATCAATAACCTAAATTAAGGCAATCTGATAAGGATTTAAATCTGACGGAAGTTTTAAATAAAAAACTAGAAATTGTGTTTTTTGTCATTTAATAGTATTTAAAGTGTTTTCCGGAAATATACATTGGAAAACATGTTCATTAGTAAGTTATTGAATGAGGGAATTTCAGTCATTAATACGTCGTATATGTGTATTAAATAACGATACGTACATAAGTATATATAGTTAGCTAATAGAAAATAAGGTGGGGTAGTATATTTGATGCGGCGTTTATAATTTTCGAAGAAGCATTAAATATAGTAAAAACCTAAACATTATTAAACGTTCCAATTAAACTTATCACAAAGATCTAAGTTACATAAAGAACATACATTATATATTCATCAATTTTGATTGGCAATTTACTCAAATCTTTTGCTAGCTTCTATTGGGGAGCTGATAAAGAATCTCTTCTTAAATATATAGAGCGTTAATTCGCTCTAAGCTAGATTATAGCAGTATTCTTTATGCGACATCTAGTACCTCCCTACTAAAGTCTCTAAACACGATTCAAAATACATCCCTACGACTATGCCTTGGTGCTTGCAAATCAAGCCCCACTGAAAGTGTTTGTGTTGAATCTTCAGAGCCACCACTCCATCTAAGAACGCAGCAGCTTCTACTTTCATACTTTGTAAGAATACCAGCAAACCCAAGTAACCCGGTAATAAATCTAATCAATCCCATAGAATATAGAATCTCCCCCAGCAAACTCATCCAATCAGTCTCTCACA